TTTCTTCCCTGCACTACATGCTTTCGGGATGATGTTTTTTACAGGGGGGAGAGAGGGAGGAGGTAGGGATGGGCAGGCAAGAGGAGGACAGGATGGGCCACATTAGCCAGTGAAACCCTCAAAAGGAAATGCAGTGCATGGCAGCCAGGATGCACAGAGACACTTTCAGCTTTGAATTAAAGCCTTGATCTTGGAGATTTGTTAGGTTTTACAGCAATAGACCTTCATTAAGTATTGCAGTCACTTGGGTCATTTTTTATTTGGTGCCTATTTTCAAGAACCCAGGTTAAAACATATGCACCATGGCAGGTATTTTAAATTATATATTGACTTTAACTATCACTAGCATAAATGTGCAGCAAGGATAAGCCTATGCCTTTAATCCATTTTAAATTTGGATTATAAAATATTAAGTGGGGTTTCAAAAATACATTAGTTCTTCCCCAGTTGAATTAGTACTACTACTACTATTTGTGAGGCTAATGATAGGTTATATGATGCTATCTGCAACTGCTATCACTGGTCTTACCCATGTGGGCTTTGGTAATAATTATGTAGATACCACGAGCACTTGCTCAAATATGCATAAGTTAGTATAACTGCATGTTCAGATCAGTCATTCTGATTTAAAAAAATCAAACTATTGTGAAGAACATTGCAGTTATTGAATAACCTAAGTGGATTTTCTTACAGGTGAAAATGCCAGGAATGACATTCCTAATAAGTTGTTCTTCAATATCTCCTTCACATGAAGGAAACTTGCAAAAAATTAAACACAATAAAATATAAAGATAGTTGCATATTAACCTTTATATAAATTCCTGGTAACTTCCAATTTTCAGGGATGCTCTCAAATCATTTAAGCATCATTTTTCCAAATGTGCTTGCTTGATAATGTTGTATCTTTACACTGCAAGAATATTTTGGTGATATCTGAAAGACTGAACCCAATTTGCAACCCCATTGTGCTCATCCTCTGACAAGCATAGGTAAGCCAATCCTGGACACTTTTTTTTTTTTTTAGACTGCAAGAATAGAAAAGATTAGTATATGACCAAATGGTGCAAAATTGGCAAGGCAAGTAGGAAAAAATGTTCAAATATTGTTTTTGTATTTTTGTGCAAGCTGTTTTCCATCTGTAATGAGTGCTTGGCTCTGTACAAAACTAAGGAGTAATGTGGCTGCTCAACAGATATTTTCCATGGGGGAAACAGAAAGGGATGTGTACATGCCTTTTCTCATCTGTCCTTTAATTGGTTACTAGCATCATCCTTGCTGCTTTCCTTATTCACATTTTGAAAGAAGTAATTTAAGAACAGAATTATAGAATCATAGGGAAATAGGGCCAGAGGTCTAGTCCAATCCCCTGTCTGAGGTAGGATCATCCCTATTCAAACCATCCTATAACAATCCATAATCTAACCTCTTAGTATAACTACCATCAACCCTGATACAACATAAGACAGCATCCTGAGCAGGCACAGTTAAAGCAGGGGGACAACGGCAGCACTAGTACAGAATGGATTTGATTTTCAAGCTGCCTCCTCCTTCACATGCTATATTATTGTAGTCAGATTTCTGATTTATGCCCATTTGTATGCAAAGCATTTTTGCTGTTGTCAAGATTTGCCCATCTTTGCTTGGCTTCCACCAATTCTTCTTCAATAAAAAAATCTCCTCCATCTACATTTCAGTTGTTCCTGCAACTGTCTGGCAAATTCTTGAATTAACAAGTGGCAGTTTAGGAGAAACAAATGTACACCTGAAACAAAAATTTTAAGTTTAGGTTGTTTAAGAGATCAGGGAATGAATAGTGGACACTGCTGGGATAAATGTCCCCAGCAAATAAAAATGTTAACATAACCCTGTTACTGTACAAACAGTTGAATTCTGTTTTTTGCTTACAAAGACATCAGCTGCCTTAGTGCCAAGGCAAACAACAGAAAATTCATGCCAGTGCTGGAAAAGAGACAAATACACAAAAATCAAAGCAAGAGCATTATAAAACTGAAATAGAAAGGCTTTGCAGAACCAGCTTAAAGTCCTTTTTTTTTTTTAAGACAATACTAGTTGATTTCATTCCAATAGGCCTGGTCAGGAGCAAAACAGGTTAGTTTTACCTTTGACAAAAGTAAAATGACACAAGGGGAACACAAAGAAACAAAGGAAGGGAGAAAAAAAAAAGCTGCGTTTATCTCAGGAAGCAAGTCAGCTGCTCAGGCACAGAAAGATATTTTGGGCTGGCAAGCTTATCACAATTGCTGCTGCTCTGGACTCAGGCTCACATCCCTCATCAGGAGATATCATCTATGTGGCCATCTTAAACTTCTTTTACCAGCCTCTTGGTCCAAGCCTCCTGTTGGTGCCACAGTGGTCTAGGATGCAAACAGAAAAGTGGAACAGGAAAATGTACCAGGGAATGAAAATAATACAAAAAGGTGGCAAACCAGTATTGTTTCACATTTTGGGTTCTCTCTCCTTATTGGTATTGTTGGAACAGGAAAACTAATTATGCAACTACTTATAATCAACAGTAAAATTTATCATTGGGGCGGTCAGGGGTGTGGGCCATCTATCAGACCCTTGTCATAATTAATTGGGTTGGGTCCCCAAACAAAACAACTCACTTCCACACATTCACATAGGGGAAAGGGTATTTATTAACAAAGGATGACAACAACCATCAATTTATCAGTGACAATAGAGAATAAAAATTAAGCAACATGTATAGAACAAGGAGCTATTGGCCTCCCAGGTCCTCCAGTCTTCACACTCTGCCATCTCCTGGAGAGCGAGATGCACTGCCACCTATCTCTTCAGTGCAAGAGACGAACACACAAGTCTCAATACAAGCACGTGCAATCTTTCAGTTTCTTCACTCCCAGCTTCAGCTTCAGTCCCAGCATCAGTCAGGCTCCCTCCAGCTTCTCCAGGCTCACCTTGGCTCCAGCACAGGCAGAACAGCACACAGTTCTCAAAATCCCTTGTGGTCACGCATCCCTGGGGATGGGTCCCCACGTTGTGGGGTGAACTCTTGTAGAGGCACAAATAGCAGCAGCACAAATTTGCACTGTTGCTTTGTGCCTCATTGCACACCACTGCACATGCAGTTCAGCATACAGCAAATTGTCCCAGGTAGTGGCTGGGGAGGACCTGCTATCCTGTGCAGCAGGGGTATAGATCTGGTAGCATAGAGCCCAGCCAGCAGCCAGAGCATTGCTCTAGATGGCCAGTCCTCCGTTTGTTCTGGCACATGCTACTGATGTGTGCTTTGCACCACTTCTTTCCCCATTTTTTTTGCTACAGGAATTTTCCCTGCATGTAGGGACTCACCTTGGTGGTCTACATGAACCAGGTCTGGTCAGCACCTTTTATGGGGGGAAAATCACCCCGCATGCACTGGCCAATATCAGTTATTCACCTGTCAATCATACATCAGTCATCTGAACTGATCTTCTCTCACAGGCTAACCAACCACATCTTCAATCAACTCAGGCATATGCTAACTCACTTTTCTGCCTAAATCTTGGCTCTACTGTATTTGTTAATCATATACAATTGGGTCACTAACATCACTTGGTTCAAGAATGCAGAGTTTCTACAAAACTCTCAGTCAGGACACCATCACATAAACCTGGACTACATCTTACACTAAGTAATGTACTAAGTATTTTGTCCTTTAGTTACATTATGGAGAATTATAAACAGGAGGAACAGTGGAGGCCAAAACTCCAACAGGATGGTGGCAAGGGTCAAGAGGTCCCCACTAGTATGTCATCAGCATGTCAGCGGGATGAAGTGAAGGCAAATGTGAAGGACAGAACAGAATTCCTGAAATAGTTGAGTCCGATTGCTTCAAAAACCCCTCAGTAATTAATTCCTTCCCATCCAAGTCTCCCCTAAAACCCATTAGAGGGGTAATAAGGCAGAGGCTCATCACTCTGCTCCCTAATTTCTGCCCACTAATTTTCAGTCATCTAGGGCATCTTTACACATGCTCCCAGGAGAGAGGGGGCTATTTGAATTAGAGTGGCTCTCAGGCACTGTTTGATGAGCTTTAGTTAAAGCACCCGCACCATTTTGCAGCATGAGTACTCCAGGGCTGCTGAAGCATGCTAATTAGCATGCTCCAGGAGACTATAGTCTGCTCTGACACTGCATGTGAGAGCAGATGCCCCACATGTCTACAGGCATCCCTACCTTATTTATTAAAAAGAGTTCACACAGAAAAGCCTTCGTTTAGCTCAAGGACTGAGAGCAGGCCTAATTCAGTTTTTTG